GTGGAGGAGTCTCTCTTCCAACTCTTGGCTCTTGCAGCCCCAGGATGAGTTGCCTGTCAGGATTTCCAGTGGGAGGGTGGAGAAGGGACATGGGCAACAGGATCTGGGGGAATGACATGAAAATGTGTCAGGGAAGGTTAAGGCTGGGTATTAGAAAAAGATTCAGCCAGCATGAAACTGTCCCACAGGTCAGTCAGAAGGGAAACAGACAATTTTGAGAAAGTAAAGAATACTTTTGTGCATGAGAGTCAGGAATAAATGTGGACTTTTGATTTCTCAGAGCACATCCACAATGCAGGGGTGCACCATGAGCTGATACCTCTGACCTCAGATGAGGTGGTTGGGGAAATCCTGGATAGATCAATGAATGGCAAAAGAAGGGGGGAATCTGGGGACAGAGGGTGCATGAGGACTGGGTAGGGATGAGGGTGTTTGTGTGAGGGCTGTGCTCCCACAGCTTTGCTCCCTGATTATGAGAGTTGGTCATTGGTGAGCCATGCTCCACTTTCTCCTTGGGAGCAGTGTGAAATCAGGTGGGATAATAGGGATGGTCTGTCCTTAAAGGAGAGCCCTGTTGCACCCAGGGTCCTGCCTGCTGGTACAGTCCCAGCACTGAGCCACAGGTCTCTGCCTGTAGAAATAACCTGTATTCAATCAAAGAATCCCAGAATGGGTTGGGTTGGAAGAGAGCTTAATCATCTCATTCTAATCCCCTGCCATGGGCAGGGACACCTTCCACCATTCCAGGTTGCTCCAAGTCCCATCCAGCCTGGTCTGGGACACTTCCAGAGATGGGACAACTACAGCTTCTCTGGGCATCCTGTGCCAGGGCCTCCCCACCCTCACAGGGAAAGATCTCTTCCCTATATCCCATCTAAACCTATTCTTTAGTGAATTCTAAAGCCCTGTTTGAAGTAGGAGGACTCCAGCAGCAAATCACAGCTTCAGATTCCCCACCCTTTCCATTTTCTGTGGCCCAAAGATCTGGTGCACTTCCAGATCTTTCCCAATGCTGCCAGACTGGGAAAATCACAGTGGGGAGGAGTTTCTCCCCAAAACTTCTTGTCCCTTTGCCACCAGAGGGAGATGCTGCTCAAGCTCCAGATATCCTCCAGTGCCTGTGTTATGGAATCATTCAGGCTGGAAAAGCTCTGAGCTCATCCAGTCCAACCATTCCCCAGCACTGCCAAGGCCACCACTAACCCATGTCCCCACGTGCCACATGCACAAGACTTTTGAGTCCCTCCAGGGATGATGACTGGAGAGGTGAGGGAGGTACAGGACTGATGCTGCTGTGGCATTGCTCTGGGAGCCAGTGGGAATGAAATGGGGAGCTCTGGGATACTGGTGGTGGAGTGCACAGTGAGCTCCTGAAGGAATGAGACCGTGGCTGTGGGCATCTCCTTTTCCTTCCCAGGCATCACTGGGCCATGGGGAATGTTTGAAAATCACTGTCAGGGTCTTGCCCTCTTCAGGAGAAGAGTCACTGACCTGTAAATATCCCATGGTGCCTTCATGTCCAAAGGTGTGTGTGTAAGGGGAGATGCCCCAGATCACAGTGGATGCACAGGGGGACCCTGGGGGTTTGGTGGAAGTGGCTCCAGCTGTCACCACCATGGTGCTGAGTCCTGATTTTGGTGCTGTATCCTTGGAGCTGTGCCCAGGGGGGTGACCTGATCATGCCACACTCTGCTCTGTCCTCAGATCAACCCTTGGGGTGCACAAATCCCACAAATCCCAGTCACTGCTCTGTGTGGAGTAACATGGAGGCCTGGGCCAGTCCAAACCCAGGATGGAAAAGCTGGCAGAGGGGCAATGGACCAACTGCTCCTGTGAACCTGCTGATGTTTATCTTCCAGATGTCCCAAATGCTTGAGGAGACCTGGGCAGATCATCTGCTCCTTCTGCAGCATCTCCCATGAAGCTGTTTTTGGATGAGGAATGATCCTGAGCTAGACCAGGATCTGCCCAGCTTTTGGGGGTCTCATCACCAAAGTTTGGGCTTCAACCACTCTCCAGAAGGGCTGGAGCAAGGGGATATCTCCATCCCACTGCACTTGGACAACTGTCCAGCGCTTTTGCCTGCTCTGGAATAGAAAATTTCTGCTCACTTGCCTCCTGTCAACCTTTTCTTTTCCATTTTGTTTCTTAAGGAAACCCTCTCCATCATTTTAGAGAGGTGGAGGGTCATGCCCCAGCCCAGGAGAACTCAATGCCACAGGTGAGAGAAGCTCTCAAGGGCAACATGGGAGCAGGAACCAAGCATGAATTTTGACAATGCAGGGAGTGACCCAAGGGCTCCCCAGGAGAACTGGCTGTGCCACTCTGGTGATCTGGAAAAAGGAGCAATCAGGCAGGGACAGAGGCTACGTCCCTAAGAAATTAAACAATACCCAGGAGAGTGCCTGGGCTTGGGAATGTGGCTGTCCTGACTGCTGGCACTGTCCCTTGGCTTGTCACTCTTGTCCCTCTTTCAAGGTGAAATAAAATAAAACAGGATGGAGTTGTACCAAGAGTGTGGGGCAGCAGCCTTGCCCCAGCCCTGCTGGGATCTCACCTTCCAGCAGCCCAATTTCTGAGCATTGTCCATGGGTGCTTGGTTTTGAGAAAAACATTCCCTCCAGCTCCAAAATGATGTAACACTACCCCACTCCCCACCCCCCTCATCCAAAAAGATTTCCCCAGAAAAACCATCTTTTCACTTCCAACAACATTGAACCACAATACTTGGACCTTACAGAAAATAGAATTATTTGCCCTGGGGCTGTTGTTATTTGTCTGGTTTTTTTCCAAGCTGAAACTTTGGATATTTTTTCCCCCCTTTAATTAAATTGGGTTTGCTGCTAATCCCTTTCTGGTGCCTTCAGTGTTCCTGTAAAAGGCAGGGCCCAGGCTGCAGCTCTGTGCCCATGGCTCCAAGGCTAAACAATACCACAGAGGGGGGGAGCAGAGGGTAAGCCCAGCTAATCAGGACTTGCCTAATAGGACTGAGTGCTTAATGAGAACCCAGGGACTCTGCTTCCCCAGCTGGATTTGGCGGGAGGAAAATGCTTTGTGCTCTCAACACCAGGTTTGAGACGGCTCAGAGCTCTCACATATGCTGGAGCAGTGTTTTCTCCCTCCTGTGAATCCATCCTCACTGGACACAAGACAGATCTGTGAGGGATCCCCACATCCCGGGATGCTGGAGGAGCTGAACAAGACCCTGGGAGCAAAAGGATCCATGTTTTGCTTGAAGGGAGATCTTTTAAATCAAAACACTGTTTATACTTTGATTTTCCTAAGCAAAGCCACCAAAGACCCCTGTCTGGTCCCCTCACGTCCTTGGAGCTCCCTGAGGAGCTTTGGGGGGATTTTAGGGATTGACTTCAATAAATAACACCAAATGTTCCACTGTTTTGCCATGGAGACCTGCTCAGATTGTCTCTGTCCCCACTGCTACACCCCCAGATCGAGCTGGGGTGTGGTTTTGGGAAGGGGGTGGGATAGGGAAGGCACCTCAGGCCCTTCCCTGGTTAACGAGGGAGATTTGGGGTTCAGCACGGGGACTTTGGGATGCAGAGCACGGTGTCAGGGGGTTGCAGGGTGTGCACAGGCGGGTGGGTGCTGGGACACAGGTGGGTGCTGGGTGAATGGGAGCCCAGGTGTGCACGGTAGGTGGGTGCAGATGTGGGTGCAGAGGTGGGAGGTTGGTGGTGCACAAACAGTCGGTGGGTGCAGAGGTGGGAGGCTGTGTGCACTCAAACAGTCGCCAGGTGCAGATGCAGGTGTGCGTCCCCACATTCACAACAGGTGGGTTCAAGCGTGGGTGGCTGTCCAGATGTGCACAGCACCAGGGCACAGATGTGAGGTGGGTGCCAAAACCAGTGTCTGCCTCCACCCGCTGTGGAGTGCTAGGGTGTGTGTGGGGCAAGCGGGAGCCGTGACCAGAGCTGGGTTCTCTGTCTGGTGCCGGGATGGGTGCTGGGTCCTGGTTCAGTGTCAGCTCCAGGGCTGTGCTTTGCTGGAGCAGGCTGAATCCAGGTCTGGGGCTTGGTCCAGGTCCGTGCCCGTGCCCACAGCCCGTGCCAGGTCTCGGCTCTCGGTCTGGATCCACATCCGAGCTTTTCATCGTGTGCTGGGTCCAGGTCCCGGGGCGGGCCCGGTGCCGGGTCCGTGTCCAGGGCTGGGCTGAGGTCCCGTGCCGGTACTGGGGCTGGGTCCAGGTCCGTGTCCGTGCCCAGGTCCGGTCCGGCTCGGGGGCGGGCTCGGGTGCTGGGTCTCGGTTTGGGTGCGGGCCCGTGGCTGGGTGCGGGTCCGGCTCTGTGACCTGGTCCCGGTGCTGCTCGGTGCCAGTGCCGGCCCCGGTCCTGGTGCTGGTCGGAGCGGTGCCGGTGCCGTTCTTGGTGCGGGCCGGGGCGGTGCCGGTCCCAGTGCTGTTCCCGGTGCGGGCCGAGGAGGTACCGGTCTCGTTCCCGATGCGGGCCGGGGCGATGCCGGTGTCGGTTCCGGTGCGAGCCGGGGCGGTGCCGGTGTTGGTCCCGGTGCGGCCCGGGGCGGTGCCGGATCCGGTCCCGGTGTGGATCGGGGCGGTGCCGGTCCCGGTGCGGGCCGGGGCGGTGCCGGTGCCGTTCGCGTTCCCGGTGTGGGCCGGGGCGGTGCCGGGTCCGGGGCGGTGCCGGGTGCGGTCCCGGTGCGGGCCGGGGCGGTGCCGGGTCCAGTCCCGGTGTGGGCCGGGGCGGTGCCGGTGCCGTTCCCGTTCCCGGTGCGGGCCGGGTCCGGTCCCGGTGTGGGCCGGGGCGGTGCCGGTGCCGTTCCCGTTCCCGTTCCCGGTGCGGGCCGGGGCGGTGCCGGTCCCGGTCCCGGTCCCGGTGCGGGCCGGGGCGGGGTCGCCGCCGGGGCCGAGCGGAGCCGGGCGGGCGCGGGGAGGGCTCAGGCGGCGGCGCCTGCGCGGGGCCATCGCGGCGCTCCGCGAAGTTCCGCGGGGCCCGGGGAAGTTTGGGCTCGGCTCGGCCCCGGCCATGGCCTTCCGCCGGCGGGCCAAGAGCCACCCGCTCTTCAGCCAGGAGTTCCTCATCCACAACCACGCCGACATCGGCTTCTGCCTGGTGCTCAGCGTCCTCATCGCCCTCATGTTCGAGGTGAGACGCCCCCGCCATCGCCCCCCCCCGGGACCGGCTCTCCGAGTGTCCCCACCTCGTGGGCGAGGTGACCCCCCCCTTGGTCTGCATGGGGTGTCCCCTCCTGGGGCTGTTCCAGCTCGGGGCGGTCCCCAGCCGGCCCAGGTGCCCCCATCCCGTCCGGGGAGGGGGCTGTGGGGTGCGGGACCCCTCGGTGTGGGCTCAGAGTGCCGCCCCATTCATTCCCCATCGCTCACCCAGCACCGGAGCGGGTCCCCACATTGCCACGGGGACCCAGCCTGCTGCTGGCTTTAGGGGTGGCACATCCTTCACATCCTTCTGCCCCCGCTCCAGCTCTGCCAGGGGTCCCTGCATGCGGAGGGGGAGCACAGGCGGTATCAAAACCCTTGCCCCAAACCCACCGCATCTGCCGGGACGTCCCGAGCGCTGAGGGGCACATCCAGCGAGAAGCCAAGCCTCGTCTGATATTCCTATCTCTTGGAAATGGAAGAAATTTTTTTTGCCTTTTTCCCCCCCTTTTTTTTTCTCTAACAGTAGCCGTTTTCCAGGTGTTTTCTCCGCAGCCCGTGGGACGAGCACCGGAGGCTCCCGGGCCTGGGGCAGCGGCTCCCGGGCCTTTCCCATCCCGCTGAGGCACGGGAAGGCATCCCCGGCATTCCTCGCCCTGCCTGGGCGGCCGCAGACCCCCTCAAGGCCGCTGTCCCACCCCCGCCATGCCGGGAACGCCGCTCTGTCCCTGCCGCTGCTCCGGCTCCTTCCCTGTCCGCCTGCTTTCCTTGCCCGTGCCTGGCTCCGGGCATCCCGCCCCGAGCAGCGGGCCCTGGTCAGCGGCACGGCCGGCCGGGATCCCCCCGCCTCCCCCGCTGAACCCTCCCCTTCGGCACTGCCACGTTTCAAAGCAAATCCGGATGGGAAAGGGGTGGCCGGGGGGCCTGGCGAGGGAGGAAAGGCTCCTTCTGTAGCAAATCGCAGGAGGAGGAAATCCATTTCCTTAATTCCTCCCCGCTGGCACCCCCTTGCTTTTCTATCCCCCTCTTTTTTTTTTTTTTTTTTTTTACTGCGAACTCATTGAATGAACGAGCCTCTTACAGCACTCGAAACCTTTTCGACGTCCTTGTGCATGTATGTATATTTATTTAAGGGTTTCAAAACCGACCCAGGAGGGCCAGCTGTATTCCAAAGCCACATGCAAATGCTGCAAAGTTGGGCTGCAAGTTTCGTACTCGTACTTTAAAAAGAAAATGCCACTGAAGTTGTGTCTCTGTCTCAGGGTTTCTCCCTGCAGATGGGTTTGTTGCATATTGGGAGCCCTGTCCTGTTGAGGTTGAACCTGGGCTTGCTGCTATGATTTGATAGATTTTGGTTTTGGTTGATATGGTGCTGTGAGGGCAGGTCTAAAATATGATGAACCTTCCCCCATGGTGGTGGCAGCAGGGAGGGATTTGTGGTGTATCTGTGGTTTTTTTAATGTATTTTAATGAAATCTCCCTCAGATGCTGAAGGCAGCAGTTTGCGACTGTCCAGCAGACCTCAGGGTGACAGCTTGCCATGCCAGGGTAGCTTCCAGTGCTCCCTGTGGCTGGCAGCATCATCCCTGGGCATGGGCTTTGGGACAGCTCTTTGTCCTTGTGGGCATTTCAGTTTACTTTTATTTTATTATTACATTTATTCCTTCTGCTTTCTTTTCCACTGGAGGGGAGATCAGCCTCTGCTCTTGCCCAGCCCTCCAAACCATCCGTGCCTGTTTGTGCCACCTCTGTGGTGAGTTTTGGTGGCAGCTCTGATCCCTTGCCATAATGAGGAGGACCTGTCACTGTCCCTTCCCCTCCTTCTCCTGTCATCCCTGCTTCCCACCCTGCAGCCAGGCTTGCACCTTCCCCAAGCTCAGGCCCAGCGGAAAAGGCCGAATCCTGCTCACAATAGGCCGTTTCCTGCAGGGAAGGTTTTTTTGGGAAGACACAAATAAGGTTTTTAACCTTTTCCCAGGCATCCTTCAGGAGCTGACTGCTTCCTTGCTCCAGCACCCTGCTCGGGGTGATACTGTGGGGCTGCCATGGGTCTCCCACTGCTCAAGCACAGCATAAGCTGCACCTTGAGCATCTTTTTGGGTGCACAACCTTTCCCCATCCACATGGATTCACCAAGCTGGTAATTCCTCTGTGGCAGGGAGCAGGTGCTGGTCATGATGGGATTTGGTGGCATGAGGCTGCTCATTGGTGTTCCAGGTGATTTGATTATTCCAGTGTTGTGTGTGTGTTTTGGGGGATCATTGCATTGCTCAGGGAGGGAATCCCCAGGCTTGGAGGGAGTTTCCCCATTAAGAGCTGTCCTGAGCTGGGCACTACAAAGGGTTTTTATTTCCCAGCCAGCCCTAAGCCTTCAGGGTGTGAAAACACACTTGGTTGTGCAGCTGTCTGATGCCTGAGAGGGATTTTGCCACGTGTGTGTGGCTGCTGCAGACCAGAAAGAAAAACCTCCCCCTTGTTTTTTTTTGGTGTAAAACTATTTTTAGTGAGTCTGTACAGAAATGCGAAACAGGTGCTTCCCATCCTCATGCAGAAATTACTTTGCATATCTTTTTTCACCCTGCTTTGCAGAAAAATGAAGCAAAGGCCAGGCTGGGTTTAACCTGTGTCCCATCAGGGCTGGCTCCTGTGAGTGGTGTTTAGTCAGGTTTGGGGAAAACTTGCCAGATTTTGGAGAAATTTCTGTATTAGATGAGGGCTGCTATTGTAATCTCCAATGTGGGGAAACTGAGGCTCAGTCTTATGCCTGGGGTGATGAAATAAAGCTGTAAACCATTGTTTTAGCAGTGGTTCCATGCCCTTGCAGGGCTTTCCCCCTGTGCAGATCGTGGGATGTGAGTCACGGGCTCCCAGGCTCAGAGTTGTGACACTCAGAGAAGGCAGCTGACGAATGAGCTGCTATTTCCAGGCTTCCTGCTAAATATACTTTCCCCTTCCCAGTCCCCTCTATAGTACTCTAAAAATTGAGGCCTTTCTATTGTTAATGAGGGAAAACAAAATGCATTCCTGCCTCCCCTGGTCTTTGCCAGATGTGGGAACCGAGGCATGTGGGGGATGTAAGGGTTGAGTGCTGGGAAGAGTGGAAAAAAGGTAAAAAAGTGCAGTATTTAGGTTTACTTTTAAAAAGAGAATAAACAGGAGGGAGAGTGAGGCAGTAGAAATAGTGTCATGCTGGGGGATGAGTTTGTCTGTGGGGGCAGAGGGGCTGCACCGCCCTTGGGAAGGGCTTTTTGTCAAAGCCAGATGTTTACTTTGAGAGGCTTTGGTCCAAAGTTTGGGCTTCAGTTTACATATAGGGCCCGTGTCAATCCATACTGTGCATCAGCAAATTTGTCTTTCAATAAACTGGGAAAAAGAAACCCAAAGTTGTGAGAAAAGCCTTTGGACAGCATTTTGTATGTAATTAGTTTGAGTTGTTTTTCAAGCCCTGGAAATATTTTCCCAGCTCAGACTGCAGAAAACTCCCCCAGCCTCCCCCGCCAGAGGTTTGGAGCTGCTGCTTTCTTCTAGAATGGTTTTAACTCAAGCAGGACCATGGGGATGGTGGCATGCCTGGGGGTTCCTGGCTGTGGTGAAAACAAATCCCACTGGGATGAGGCTTTGGAGAAGGGAAATGTGTTTCATAGAATCCTGGAATTGTTTGAGTTGGAAGGGACCTTAAAACTCATTCTAACCCTGTGCCATGGACAGGACAACTTCCACTAGACCAGATTGCTCAGAGCTCTGTTCCTACTTGGCCTTGAACACTTCCAGGGATGGGGAGTCCACAACCAATCTGGGCAAGCTGTTCTAGGAATTAATAGAATGTGCTGGGGAAGGATGCTCAAAAATTATCCCTCATTCCTAAAAATATTAGTGTTTGAGAGTTGCAGTGGGTAATTTCTGAGCGAGGTGCTAAACTGCCTGCATGCGTGTGCTTAGACACAAGTGGAGTTGAGATTTTGATGTGGAGCTTTTCACGGCAGGGGTAAAAACAGCATCTTCTAAATTGCTGGGTGGGGCTCTGAGCACCCTGCTCTGTGAAAGGTCTCCCTTCCCATGGCAGGGGGTTGGAACATGATCTTTGAGGTCCCTATCAACCCAAACCATTCTGGGATCTAAAAAAGGATGGGGAGAGCTTTGCTGCTCTGTGTTAGGCAGCAATCTCCAGGCTAGGGGGTGGGATGTGGATTTTTCCAGTCACCGCATTATGAGGGAGTAAATGCCTGGTGGTAGACAGTGAATGTGTGGTGGTGCTGGGATTGCTTGGCTTTATCTTTTGCTCTGCCACCCAGGGCTGCAAGGTGGATGTGCTGATTTGGTTTCTGGCCATGAGAAACAATCTCATCCCTGTCCTGGCTGATCCAGGCAGCTCAGGAAACTCTGGTCATGTTGGACACATTGAGTTTTACCTTTTTATCATCCATCTGCACTTTGGTCCTTGAGTTAGTGGCTTTAGCCAGCAGAAAGCCACTCACTGCTGAGGATGTTGTTCCTTCATGGCTGTAGAGAGCTCCCAGGACAGCTGCTTCCCAAATTTTTCTGGTTCAGACACACAGAACCATAAAATCATTAATGTAGGGAAAGCCCTCTAAGGTCATCGAGTCCAACCGCTCCCCCAGCACTGCCAAGGCCACCACTAATCCATGTCCCCAATTGCCACATCCCTCATAAGGCAGGATGAGGCTGGGATGAGGAACATCTCCCTCTGCAGAGAGGTGCCCTTAATGCAGGCCAGGGAGTGGATGAGAAATAAATATACAGTGTTTGCTACATGGTCCCTGCTCTGTGTGTCCCTTGGAGACAAATCCCTCTCCCACCCTCTAAAAAGTTGTGCCAGGAAGGATTAGGTTGGATATGAGGAAAGCTGCAAAGGCAGTCAGGGATTGGAATAGGCTGGAAGTAATGGAATCACCATCCCTGGAATTGTTCAGAAATGGTGCAGATGTGGCACCTGTGGCCATGGTTTTGTGGTGGGCTTGGCAGTGCTGGGGGAGCAGCTGGATTCCATAATCTTAGAGGACTTTTCCAACCTGAATTATTCTATGATTCCATGAATTGTGCCCCTGCCAGTAGCAGTTTAGTGGCAGCTCTGGCTCTGCTCTCTGCCCTGCAGGGCAGAAGTGTTCCCAGCACTTCTTTTCCCATATCAGAATCTTGTTTCAGAGCAAACAGACAGCAAGTCTTGTGCCTCTGAATAATCCTCACATTGCTCTTCCCACTCCAAACTTCTGCTTTCCTTGGCTGCCTGTGAAATGCTCAAGGCAGGCTCTGAAGGGTTTTGCCATCCCTGGTGCTCATCCCTATTTCCCAAGCCAAGGAAACCTGGTTTTTGCCTTGCAGGTGCCTGCATCTAGGAGGTTACAATATTTTAACAACCAATTTGTCTTTGGTTGTTAAAATATTTCACTGAGGCTTTAGGAAGCAACCTGCTACCCCTCTGTAAGGAAAGGTTCGGGTGCTGGGATGGCTCCAAAGCTGCTGGTGGTTCTTCAGCCCACAGGAAGAAAAGGCAGGTGTGGAGATGGGACAAAGCATTGCTTGATGGAGGAACCTTCCTACCAGGTACTCTGGGAAAGAAGATCAGGAAAAAGAAAAAGAAGATCAGGATTGGAAACTGTGCTGAGGCTGAGCTCTATCCAGGCATTGCTTCCCACCCTGGAGATACTCTGGGGCTTTTTTCCTGGACTCACAGCTCTGGCCTGTGTCCTCTCCAGCAGGTTAGGAGGCTTCACCTGGAGATGATGTCTTGTTTCCAGCTGTTTATAGCAATGGATGTCAGCCAGGTACTCGGGGAGCTGTAAATCCATCAGTGCCTGCTGCCTTTAGCACATCCATGACACGGCCGCCCATCCCTGCAGCACCACAGCCACCACTGGCTCCATGCCTTTGTTTCATGCCCTGTGCCAGTCTGCGGCAAGATTTGGATGTAAACTCTAGTCCTGAATGTGCTTTACAGCTCTGGGATGAAGCAACTTGGCTTTCCCAGCCAGCAAGGTCTGCAGGAGCCAGAAGTGTCTCCCTCAGCCAGCTTGAGGCCAGGCGATGCACTTTTTCCATTCCCACCCCAAACTCTGCCCATGGTCTCCATCTCCTGCATCTACTCCTCCACAAACAGAGCACAACAGCACAACATGTGGGATTTCCTTTTTTTTTTTTTTTTTCTTTTTTTTTTCTCAGTGGAAAAAGCAATAAAATCCCCAGACATCACAAAAACACACCATGGAGTTTGCTGTCCCTGAGCCGGGGCTGCCTGCACCAGTTGCTCAATGCTGGTGGTGGCAGGATGGGAACTCTTGGCAAAGCCTGCCCCGCAAGCTGTGGAGCAATTTCCAGCTGGGATTTTAATATCCTGCAGCTCTGAAGCAGGCAGCCATGTCTGTGTGAAATGCAGCTCATCTCTGTCAGTGTTTGACGGACACAGGATTTTTTGGGAATGGCTTTGTTTAAGGGTAGGTGCTTGTGAAGCCTTGGAGGGTTGGCTGGGAGCCACAGGAAAGGGAAAATCTGGTGACCTGCTGCCAGTGTGGGGTTGGATGGGATGAAGGCATGTTTAGTGTTGGATGTCTGTGCAATGGATTTTGCTGTGGCCCCAGTTTGAGGGTGCTTTGGTCTCAGAGATGCAGTTTTGGGGTGTCCTATGGGGTGGATGCTCTGCCCCATCCCCACAAAGCCTCCTGCTTTACTGCTGGGGAGGATCAGCAAAATTAAATTTCTTTGAATTTAAAGCAGTTTAATCAATGGCCACCTCTCTGGTGATCAGTGACAGGATCAGAGGGAATGGCTGGAGCTGTGTCAGGAAAGGTTCAGGTTGAATATTAGGAAAAGGTTCTTTCCACCCCAGAGGGTGCTGGGTACTGAACAGGCTCCCCAGGAAATGATCACAGCCCCAAGCCTGACAGAGCTCAGGAAGGGTTTTGACAATGCTCTCAGGCACAGGATGGGATTCTTGGGGTGTCCTGTGCAGGGACAGGAGTGGAATTTCAATGATCCTTTTGGTCCCTTCCAGCTCAGGATGTTCCATGATTTGATTCTATGATTCAATAAATAAAAAGTGAGCAGCACAGCCCTGGGTTTTGGATGTCTTGATATCTCATCCCAAGCTTTTTTTTTCTCTTTTTGGCCATGCATCTGGAATCTTGTGGGTGACCAGTGAGAGTTTCTGTGTTTCTGCAAGTGAAGCTGGTGCTGGCACATCTCCCTGAGTGGTTTGCCTTTCCCATCGTGATGGGAAAAAAACTGGTCCAGAGGACTGGATTTAACAACTGATTTGCTGCTTCTCCCCTCTGTGTCTTTGACAGGTCACAGCCAAGACTGCCTTCCTGTTCATCTTACCTCAGTACAATGTTAGTGTGCCTACAGCAGGTGAGAGATGCCTCTGCTCCACAAAGAAGCTTGGATTCCTCCCAAGAAGAGGGAGGAGTCTGGTTTGCCCCACATCTTCACTTCCAGCTGCCTTGGGCTCACTGATCAGCTGCTCAGGGTCTTGTCTGGCAGTAAATGCAGTCTGGCAGAGATGTTAAAAATAAGAAATTTTGGGAAGAGGCAAAGTTTGAGTGTCTCAGACCACTCTGATCATGTCTCATGCAGCCAGGGTTGGGAAGAAATCTTTCCAGGGAGTCTGGGGGCTTCCTCTCTCTTCCTGCCAAGGCCAGGCCACTCTGCTCCCTGCAGGATGAGGGTGCTGCTCCAAGCCTGGCCAGGCAGGGTCCAGCTGTGGGATTGCCTGTCTGGAGCAGCTCCTTGTCCCTCTGGGGAGCAGGAGGGATTTACCTCTCTGCCAAGCAGCAGGGGCTGTGCATGTCATCCCTGTCCTGCTGATTTTTGGGGATGGCACCTGAAGAAGAAGGTGTGGAGATGGACATGGTGCACTGTGACAGCGTTCACAGGGGTCTCAGGTTGAGGGAAGAGACGAGGATTTGACTCCATGTTTCAGCAGGCTTGATTTATTATTTTGTGATATATATTACATTAAAACTATACTAAAAGAGTAGAAGAAAGGATTTCATCAGAAGGCTAGCTAAGAATAGAACAGAACAGAATAGAACAGAATAGAATAGAATAAGCAAGAATGAGAACAAAGGCTCTGTCTCAGACTCTCTGTCCGAGCCAGCTGGGCTGTGATTGGCCATTAATTAGGAACATCCAACATGGGCCAATCAAAAATCCACCTGTTGCATTCCACAGCAGCAGATAATGAATGTTTACATTTTGTTCCTGAGGCCTCTCAGCTTCTCAGGAGGAAACATCTTAAGGAAAGGATTTTTCATAAAAGATGCCTGTGACAGTGCACAGCATCCCTGATTCACAGGGAGTAAATTCCAGGAGGCTCTGAGCTGGTGCAGCTCAGAACCAAATGGACCAGAGGAGGTGTCCCAGCAGCAGCCAGGAGGCTCAGCCTCTGTTATTCCTATTTTGGCTGCTGGTTGCCGCCTTCCTGGCTCAGAGCCCCTCTGGATCTGGCAGGGATCTGGGCACTGGCCTGGAGACAGCAGGAGGTGCTTTGGGTAAAGGCCTGGGCTTGGGATGAGCCAAATGCCCGGGGCACAAAGCTTGGCCTGGTGGCAGAAAACTGCAGTTAATTGGGAGTGTTTGAGTAATCATCCAGAGAAAGAGCAGGGTTGGGATTAGGGGAGCTGCAGAGAGGCAGACATGTGGAAGACAAAAGCTCTGCCCTTAAAGGCTTTGGTTATGGCTGAAGGAATCGTCCAGCTTCCAGATTAAATTGTGGTCCCTTCTGCCCTGTGGCACAGTCCAGACAACTTCTGCTGCTCGTTTTTAAGGGATTTATTCTTTCCTGGTATGAGAAGTCCCAGGGGCACAGAAACACCTCCCCAGGACCAGGTATTGGGGTATCAATATAGGGCATGAGCTAGTGGGGAGAGAGATCTTAGTGCAGCAGCTTCTTGGGAGGAATCTAAATTTTTCCATGGCTTTCCCACATCCCCCACAGCTCCTGCTAGAGGTGCCCTGGAGAGAGAAGGCACAGCACATGTACATTATATTATTTTTTTTGGCCTTGCAGTACTGTCTTTTACCTTGCTCTGGGATGCAGGCACCATTTTTACCTCTAGGTCTGCACAGCACTGGGGGCTCCTAAGGATGTTTTCATATCCTTGAGCCAGGTGTGTTCATAAATCCTGTTCTTAGAAACCTGGAATGAAGCTTTGTTTAGGGTAGGCAGGGCTGGTGACAGAGCAGTCCCTTCCCAGCACTGGTACCAGGAGAGGAGAGGCTGGATCAGGGTGAGGGAGAGCAGCAGCCAGGAGTGGGCTGAGCTTTGTGTGGTGATATTTCCTGCTGCCTTCCCAACTCTGCTTCTTCCCATAAGCTTCAGGGCTGAAAATAGTCACCTAAATGCAGATGTCTGGGGTATTTTGGGTGCTGCTGGGTCTCCTATTGCTCCAGAAGAGCACAGCCTCCTGTGGGTCCTATTTCTAATTCACCAGCCCTGTGCTGCTGCCTCAGATCTCTGAATAGCAGAAGGCATCTGCATGTAGGCAGCTGAATCCTGCTCCAGCGGTTTTTAGGGAGGAGTGGGAGATCATAAGGAAATGTTAAATCATAACTAAGGGGGTGGAAATCCTATCCCAAGCCCTGATGTTCCTAGCGGGGCATCCCTGATCCCATCACTTGCTTCTGCTTCCCATGTTTTCATCCCTCCAGGTGATAAATTCCCATCTCCACAGCTGAGCTGTCCCCAGTGGCAGGGGGATGCTTTTAGTGTCCCCAGTGTCCCCTCCCTTGAGGTGTGTACCTGTCAGAGGGGAAACCACCCACGTGTGCCATGAGCTAACCCTGGAGAGAGCCCTTAGGCCACTGCCATAGTCGTGACCTCTCTCTGGTGTCCCCATCCAAGCTGCTCCCCACTAAGCTGTGCCCTGGAAATCCTTTGGGCCACAGGGGTCTGACCCACGCTCTGGTGTCTTTGCAGATGGGGAGCTGGTCCAGTATCACTATGGGCTGAAGGACCTGGTCACCATCCTCTTCTACATCTTCATCGCCATCATCCTGCACGCGGTGGTGCAGGAATACGCCCTGGACGTGAGCACCATTCCCTGCCCTGTGTCCTCAAAATACCTCAAATCCCATGGGGGCTCTGCACTTAAATGCTCTTCTGGGGGTGGTCTGGGGGCTGAGGTGATGATGAGTGAGCCTTCATCTGTGGAGGCTGCGCAGGATGGGGAGGAAAGACAGAGTTGATGGTGGCTGATGTTTTCTTGTTGTTGGTCTCTCCCTCTGCTCCTTCCCAGAAAATCAACAGGCGTCTGCACCTTTCCAAGGTCAAGCACAGCAAGTTCAATGAGTCAGGGCAGCTGGTTGCCTTCCACCTCACCTCTGTCATCTGGTGCTTGTACGTCGTGGTGACGGTAAGGCACGGGGCTGCCTGGCATTTGGGTTTCCAGGGGGAGCTGTGGCTTCTGGAGCACAAAATCCCACTGGCAGCAGAGTGTCCAGCCAGCTTCTGGGCCAAAACAGGCACATTTCAGTTTTGTTTTCAGCTGTGGTGGATCTTTCCTTAAGGCAGTTTTGGGAGATCTTTCTCCTGTATTGTACAAGGCACAGGTAAATGGGCTGTGAAATATTTTTGGGCCCTAGAAATCCTGCCTGGCCCCATCATCTCCATCCTCTGCTCCAGGACCTGATGCCTTCCTCAGCTTATTTTCCTCCTTATGTACATTCAGTACTTTGAGGTTTCCGGGTGCCTTTTGTGGGGTCATGGGGCTTATGGGCAGAATTTTGGGATCCCTCTTTGTGGTTCCTTATTTGGCAAGCTGATGGTGAGGGAATCTTTGCAAACAAGGAAACCTTGCTGTTCCTATGGGTGTCAACCCAAAGAATTCAGAGGGAAAACTGTCATTTTGGGAAGGAAGGAAGAGGGAAGAACAGGTGGTCTGGGAGAGATCTGACTGTTTTGGCAGTGTAAAATGATGATGCTTTGCTGCCTGCAGCCATTGGGGTCCAGCTTTGGTCTGCAGTGGCTCTGGGGATGGATCCCTGGGGACAGATTCCCTCCCCACTGCTCAGAGAATCCTGCCAACCCTTCTGAGAGAACTACTTTTCCCTTCAAGGCCAGCATCTCTAGAGATCTGCTGGCACTGCCTCTGCCTCATAAGGCTCTGCGGAAGGAAACATTGGCAAAACAGTTGATGCTGCTGGTTTTGGGCTCCCCTTACCCAGTGCCAGACTGATCCCTCAGCAGCTGTGGGGCTGGAGCATCCTATACAACCCACATTGGTGTGATTTGCTCCCCAAACACCCAACACACGTAGAGCAGGTCACTCTTGTACTTCCCTGGCCTTCTCCAGCTGAAAAAAAGGTTTTGGGACAGACAGGGAATGGATGATGGTGACTGGGCAGGACAAATTTCCCATGCCAGCATCTCCTTGCAAAGTCCAGGGCAGCATCTGTGTGGCAGGAGTGAGATGGGAGTCCCATCCTGTAAGGCAAGAGTTGGAAAATGAAACTATCCAATTCATATCCAGTTATTTTTGTTGGTGTTTTCTGTTCCTCTTTCTCTTCAGAAGCATTTCTTGTTGCTGAAGTGCTGCTGGGGTTGGAAATGCCAGTGGGCAAGAAGCCTCTGGACCATGCACTCAGGAATCTCACCCCTACACTTCCAGAGCATTCCAAACCCCAAAATATCCTCTCCTGAACTTGAGACCCTCTGTACATCTGAGCAAGCAGCGCTCAGCCCCCAAACAAGGGGCCTGGTGAAATTTTAGAGGGGTGCTGGAGACCCACAGATGCAGAGCTCAGCCCTGGCCCTCACAGGGAACATGATTTTTCCTGCAGGCTGTGATGAGACTTGGGTGTCATCCCCAGTTCCTCCTTTCACTGTACCATCAGCTCACCCTCTCATAACCTGTTTTGTTTTGCTGAAGCTTTGCCTCTCTTCTCTTTTTCAGGAAGGATACATTTCAAACCCCCGGAGTCTGTGGGAAAACTACCCGCATGTTTATCTGCCGTAAGCACTTGGGAGGGCATTTTGTTCTGGGGCTGGCCACTTCCTTCCTCTCCATGGTTTTGCCTGCTGGGAGTGGGGTGCTGACAGCACAGCACCCTCTGCATGCACCCTGCAGCAAGGATGCTGCAGTGAGACCATAGGGAGTGGGGATATCTCATTTGTGAGCCTGGGGAGGGATGTTCCAGAGGGTTTCATGAGGAAGGCTCTGTGGGCTTGGTTACTCATCCTGCCTTTCCCAAGGTGAAGTCTCTTTGCTATTAATTTTTCACAGCAGAAATGTAGTGGGAGATGACCCTTTCTTCTTGGTTTTTTACAAAAGTGAAGTTTGCTGAGGGCACAGAGACCACAGCACAAGCACCTGGATAAACTCCATGCGTGCCTCTCTCGGCTCAACAAATAATTTCAGCCCTGAAATGATTTCTCCTAAATCCCATAGCTCCAAAACAATGGAAGGATTGCCTAATGCTGCCCTGGCACTCAGGTTCTTGAGGTCCTGCCTTGGCCTGGGCTGGCTCACGTGGCTCCTCCCTGCATTTCAGGTACCAGGTGAAGTTTTTCTACCTGTGCCAGCTGGCCTACTGGCTGCACGCCCTGCCCGAGCTCTACTTCCAAAAAGTCCGCAAGGTGAGAGCCAGGTGGAGGTTTTGGGAGAGGCAGAGTGGCTGGAGAGGGCTGAGAGGTTGATTTGGCTTTTCTGCCCCTGCCAGGAGGAGATTCCCCGGCAGCTGCGCTGCATCGCACTCTACCTGCTGCACATCGCCGGCGCCTACCTGCTCAAGTGAGTCCCTGCCCCAGCATCCCCTCCCACACCAGAGATGGGGCTGAGCAAATGCTTCTGCCCTGGGGAGCACCTGGGAATCCTCAGGGGTGAGGGGCTTAGAAGGAAAAAATGGGATTGTTTCAGTGGAGAGTGACTTTTTACCTAAGCAGTTATATAGGACAAAGGGAATGGTGTTAAACTAAGAGGAGAGATTTGGATATTGGGAACAAATTCTTGCCTGGGAAAGTGGTGAGGCACTTGGCACAGGTTGTCCAGAGGGTTTCTCATCCCTGGAAGTGTTCAAGGCCAGGTTGTACAGGCACTGGAGCAATCGGAGACAGTGGAAGATGTCCAGGGCAGGGGGTTGGAGTGACATGATATTTAAGGTCCCTTCTCACCCAAACCATTCTCTAATAAAAAGCAGAGCAGCCTTGCCAGCCATAGGGTTTTGTGTTGGATTTATGCCAGCTCTGCCAGTGTTTTGGATGTTGTTGATGGTTTGTAGACAGGAATTTCCCCTGTTGCAGCCCCCACTGCTGCACTGAGGTCTGGCTTTGGGCTGGGGCTGCAGCTCATGGACAGCAGGGCTGAGGCTGCAGCTGGGTTTGAAGGGTGAAGTTGAAGGATGAAGGTAGAAGGATGAAGTCTGACCAGCTCAGTGATGCTTTTTTTTCCTCTTCTCTGCCAGTTTAACCCGCCTGGGGCTGATCCTCTTGCTGTTGCAGTACTTGGCTGAGTTCTTCTTCCACATGGCGCGGCTGGTTTACTTCACGGACGAGAACAATGAGAAGCTGTAAGCAGGGGAGCTGCCTGTGCCTCCCGTCCTCCTCTGGAGCCCAGGAGAGCTTGGATCTTGCTCTCCCCTCCTGGGTCAGCACTGGAGCTGCTCCTGCCCACACCTCTGCTTTCCCTCCTGCAGGTTTAATGTCTGGGCCGTGGTGTTTGTGGTCACCAGGCTCTTCACCCTCACCTTGTACATCCTGGTCATCGGCTTCGGGCTGCCGCGCGTGGAGAGCCAGGCCCTGGACCCTGAGAGAGGGAACTTCTTCAGCTTCCTCTTCAACAATATTCTCTTCAGGTAGGAATGTCCTCTGTGTCTTCCTTGGCTGTGTTATCCCAGCATGGGTTTTTCTGAGTTTGGATATGATGGAATACCAGAATGGTGTGGGTTGGAGGGCACCTTAAAGATCACTTTGTTCCAGCCCTTGCCATGGACATAGATACCATCACTGGATCGGGTTGCTCCAAGTTCCATCCAGATGGGATCCGGACAGTGATGAGTTGATCCTGATTCCATTTAGGGAAGGTCTTAGTGAGCTGAAGGGAGCGTGAAGGAAGCAAGGAGGGGTTTAAAGGCTACAGAGAGCCAAAACGGAGGGGAAAAGTCAGGAAATTAAGTGTTAATCAAGTGAAATTATAAAGTGCAAGCCTATCTTGGAGAAATGCTTGCAGGCTTTCCCTGTTGTACCTGTAAGTGCATTTACATGGATGTGATCAAGGAAAAGGCATTTTCCTCCTGCTTGGCCATGTTTTGCTGCTTGTTGATGTGGGAAGCACAGAGTGGAATGGGGTCCTCATGCCTTGCAGTCTGTCAAGTCTGGGAGCCTTTCTCACCCTTGCAGCAGCTGTGGATTGAGTTCAGAATCTGCCAGGCATGGTCATTCTCAAGCTTTTTGAAGCCAAGGACTGCTGGCACACCTGAGGATTTGAGGGTCCTTCTTACCTCCCTTCCAGGTGGTAATGATGGATGATCCTTTAGATCATGCAGGGACATCGTATCTTTACTGTGCCACTTTGTTTTGGGCAGTGCTGGTTGAGATGATCCTGTTCATCCTGTGGGAATCTACAAAATTAGAGGGTTTTGGGAAAGCTGCAAAAGGCAGGCTTCAGAGACAGTAGAACTGTGATTAGAGCTAAGCTAGCAGGCTTACAAGTAGGTATTGTGTTCGAAGTGGGCAAGCATTGTTTTGACCAAAGGTATGTGTACTTATGGTGATTGGATAGAACCACTGTCAATGTGCTTTTGCTTTGTGTGATTGGTCAAAAAACTTATAAAGTTGTAACATTAAGTTCTTTGTCTGCTGCCTGAGATGTGAGCTGATGGCATCTTCCCATTGTCATAACCATGTAATGAGACTGATGCTGAAAAATAAAACAGCTCAAAGCACGTTCCCAGCAGTCCCATCCCGTTTATAATTTGTACAGAGACCCCTGACCAGCGATACATCCATTCCTGCCCTAAAGTTGAAAGAATCAATGAATCAAAACCTGAGAGCTTTATGGCATGGAGGGAAAGGAAGGTGGCTGCTCTGGGCTCAGTGGTGGCAGAAAGGAGAGATGGTGGCTGGAGGGATGGCATCTGCCACGGGGGGGGACCTCGGCCACCAGCCCCAGCGTGGGGGGACGGCCGGGCTGGGGGTGGCCTCGCTGCTGTGTTCTCAGCCTGCCTCTTCTCCGCCCCTGGCAGAATGAGTGTGCTGCTGTTGGTGTGCCTCTTCCAGGCCTCGGTGATGTGGCGCTTCATCCACTTCCAGCTGCGGCGCTGGAGGGAGTACTGGAACGAGCAGAGCAGTCGGAAGCGAGCGACCGCCGCCGCCACCGGCACCAGGCAGCAAACCAAGCTGCTCAAGAGGGACTCGGGTGAGTGCTGCAAGGGTGGCACTGTGGAGGGGGCAGCCCTGGGGTTCAGCATCCTCCCAGCATGGTGCTGACAGTGCAGGGTGTCCCCAGCTGTGTCCTAATGTCATGGGGGTTTCCCCATGTCTGGGGGACAGTTGTGAGAGATTAAAGCGTTTGGCTTGTGCAAGGGACAAAGTTGCTTTCTCTGTAGAATCACAGAATGGTTTAGATTGGAAAAGACCTCTGAGGTCATGGAGTCCAACCTTTGACCAATCACCAGGGTGTCAACCAGACTAGAGCACTGAGTACCATGTTAAGTCATTCTTTAGATACCTCCAGGGGTAGTGACTCCAAACCTCTCTGAGCAGCCCATTCCAATGTTTAATCACCCTTTCTGTGAGGAAATTCCTTCTAATGTCCAACCTGAGCCTCCCTTGTGGCAGCCTGAAGCCATTTCATCTTGTCCTGTCCCTTGTTCCCTGGGAGCGAAGCCCCACCTGGCTGCACCCTCCTGTCAGGCACTTGTGGCAAGCGAGAAGGTCCCTGCTGAGCCTCCTTTTCTCCAGGTTAAACACCCCCAGCTCCCTCAGATCACACTCCAGACCCCTCACCAGCTCCGTGTCCCTTTGTTGCCACCCCCAGGTTACCATGAAAACGGAGTGGTGAAAGCAGAGAACGGAACCTCACCCCGCACCAAGAAGCTCAAGTCTCCATAGAAGCCAAGGGTTGTCTCCTGGGGAGGAGGGCGAGATACCAGGACTGAGCTGCCCCTCCTCCTGCTCCTCACAAAAGGCTCGGGATCATCTTCCCAAGGTGTCTCTCGCTCTCCTCCCTTCCTTTCTTGCTCTCATGAACCGTTTGCAATAAAACCAAAAAGGCCCCATTCCCCTTCTCCCATCCCCCTCATAGGAACCTTCTCCAGCCCTCCTGGTTTTGCTTCTGATCATAAACCAGCATGCAATTTTTTTTTTTTTTTCCTTTTCTATTTTAATGTTCAGTTATTTTGGTTAAATGGTTACAAATGTATCATAGATGGTTCCAAACAATCCTTTTTTCTCCTACAGCATGTTCCTCCCCTCTCTTCTTGGTGCTTCCCTGAGCCCCTGGGACAGGGCCACGACAGCTTGAAGGCACCAAATGTGTGTTATGGGATCAGATTCCTGGGGGAATGTGCTGGGGCTGTGAGATCTGAGGCTCAGGGGTGCTCTCAGGTGAGATGGGGCACAACTGGCCAGCACTCAGCAGGATGGTGATGCTGCCGAGAGAGACCAGGGTCTGATGGAGGAAGCTCAACCCTGTCTTGTCTCCTGGTGGACCTCTGGTTAACTGGGGTTTTCTGAACCCTGCTTTTGAGAATTTTTGAGAGCTGGCCAGCAGAGAAGGGAGAGAACTTCCCTCTTCATATTGAAGGTCCACCTCCCAGCCTCTGCTTGCCCCAGCTGGGTTTCTCTTGGCTGCCCTGTGGTTGTTCTGAGCCCAGGGCTCTGCAGCTCTCAGTGTTTTGTTAAGGGGCAGCAGCATCCTCAGTTCCATATGAATCCTTGAGGCCTGCCCTGCTCTGAGTGTTGGCCTGGCTTTTGTCAGCCCAACCTTTTGCCAGCTTCTCTGTGCCTCACGAACCTGGTGTTCTTGTTGCTTGTGACCACGTCCAGGTGACAGATGGGTTGCTGCAAAGGGTTTTTGCATCAGTAGGGACTGTGCCCCTCATGCTGTCACCTCAGCCTTCCTCGTCCCTACCGTACCAGTCCAGCCATGCCATCGGCAGCCACCCGCTTCACTCTGTTTCCAAAGGATACAGTGCTTGTATCCACCCAAGGTGCTATCAAATCCAGGGTTTCTTCCAAAAATCCTAGCCCCTTCATCCCTTTCTGAGCTGTGAATGAGATGACAGGGAAGGAAGGCGAAGGAGGCCGGGGCTGCAAGGAGCAGCTTGCATTTTAGGAAAAGCCTGGCTTGTGACACGTAGCTGTTAGCAGATGGAGTTGTCTCAAATCTACCTCAGAGGCCATCTGTTGCTGCACACCACTTTCCCCTCTTGCTTCTGCCCACTGCCACCTCCACGTGCTGGCAAGAGGTTTTATGGAAAGCCAGATCCCACCAGCTTCATCCCTCGCTGAGTCTGCTGGGGAGCAGCATCTGCTTGGGGTTTCATGGATCAGTGCCATCTCTCTGGGCTTCTTTTTTGGGGTGCCACGCCACGCTAGGTTTGGCAGGTGAGCAGTAGTGGCACCTCTGTCCCCACACTGTCCTCTGGGGCAGTTCCTGAGCTGGGCTTTGCTGTTGGTGCCTCTTGTGCAGTGAAGTCGGCCGTAGCTTTAGTTCTGCTTGACACAGCAGGAGCAGGGGACTCAGTGGTGTGTCCCCTTGGCTGGGTGAGGAGAGGGACACAGAGCTGGGCTGTGTCCATGTGCAGTCCAGGACTGATCCTTGGTGTTTTGAGGAATGGGTGACAGTTGATTTTCTGCCCCTCTTGGAGCTGAGTTGGGGTTTTTTCCCCATTTATCTGGGTGTCTTTTGTCCTTTCCTGCCCCTCTCCTTGTTGAGGAGGCACTGGAGGGAGAAGACATGCAGGGACATGAGGACAGTTGGTCAAATTCCACTTGTTCCTCAATCCCCGCAACATTTGAGTGTCAAGTGAGAGATTTTGGCAGGAGAGGGCTCTCCCTGTTTTCAGGGGAGCTGGGGAAGGAGGCTGGAGCAGAGCCCCTGGTGGCTCCTTACCATTGCTCCTTGTCACCTTTGCTGGGAGGATAAGACACTTTTTGCCTCAGAGGCAGCGACAGGACCCGCAGTGCAGCATGATCAGGGGGAAAAAGAGCTTTATGTTAGGGAGGACATGGAAAAGGTCGAGTGTGAGAGGTTCTTCCTTTCTCCTGCCTCTTCCCATCCCCTGCCAGTGCCCTCCAGGAGCGACTGCTGGCTGGCACCTCCCAGAGCCTCTGCCAGGCCTTTCTGCAGCACCAGTGCCTTGCAGCAGCGAGCTGCTGACTCTGTTAGCAGGTGACACATAGAGCCCCCCAAGAACACAGCTGCTGAATGATTCCTCCTCCTGCCTGCTTGGCTTCAGGCAGCTTTTCCACTTGCACAATCCTATCTCTGTACAGTAGCTGGTGATGCTTTGTATCCCAAGTGCCTTATGTTGTAGCCTCTCTGTGCACTATAGCAGTAGCTGAACACCCTCCTTTGTTACTACGTATGTACAACATATGCTACATTTATGTGTTTTCTGTTTCCTTTTTGATAGAGCTACCAGGAAAAGGGACATTTGTTTTTGAAGCATTTCCATGTGTTCTTTTTATTATTTTAGTTTTTTAAACCTATAGATGATGGGGCGCTTTTTTTTTTTCTAGCCCTCCCCTATATTTAGTCCTCAGAAATCCCCATCCTTCTGGCAGGTTGTTTTTTTTTTTGAGCTGAGCCTTTGTTGTGAGGCGATATCCACTGTCATCCTGGAGGTTTGCAATCCCATCTCCATCAGAGGGGCTGCCTTGGGCTCCCCATCCCTGTGTTGTAGTGCAAGCACAATCCCTGGGCTGCAAGCCTGCAGTAACTGCTGCTGTTGTTCCTGTGTCCGTGTCATTTCTCAGCAGATCCAGCCTTCCTTTCAGCCCAAAGAGCTTTTTCTTGGAGCATTGTCATTGCAAGCCCTTAATGGTCAGTCTGTCCTTGGCCTCTCTGCCTATGAAATGCCACGAGCTCACTTCCCTTTACTGGATGCTCTTCTCATGCCCCATCTGTGTCATCTGCAGAAAACATCATAGAATTGTTGGCTGAGGTTGGAAAATGCCTCCAAACTCGTCGAAGTCCAACCTTTAATCCAACACCAAGATCCAACCCCGAACAGGAGCTCTTGTCCACCACAGTGCAGAAGGTGATGGAGATTATCCCAAACTTCCAGTGAGACATGATTCATTGCACTCTTCCCATGGGCTTGAGGCTGCTTTGGTAGTCTGTGTCCATTATCCAACATGTGGAGGTCAGGAATTGAGTAGCCTGTGGTTTTTGGGGTGAAGTGTAGTGTTTTCCTGTCCTAGCCTAGAAGAGCTGTGAAATACCAGCACTAGTTCTCTTTTTTGTCTTAGGTAGTTGGAGAATGGGCTTGGGAAGAGAAAGGGGTAGAGGAAAAAACAGATGTAGCATTTCACATACAGTTTTTGAGTGACTCTTACATTATGGGGCATTACAGTTGCATTTTATGTTGTTGTTGTTGTTATTTAGGATTCTTTCTTCTTACTCATCATGTTTGGGTTATTAGTAGCCAAGTTCCAGTTCCCCTGTAGGTCTCTTTACCTTCAACTCAGAGTTTTAACTTAACAAAAAGGTATTTTTGGTAGGCTTCCTGGTTGGAGGGAAGTGTGGTCACTCTGGGATGTCTCCTCCTTGCCTCCAAGTGACTCTGGGAGCTTGGAGCCATCCTGCCTTTGCTCCTGGGGCTTTACAGCAGCCTCAGGCTCTTGCCTTGGGTAGATGGAGCCCAGGTTGTGTCAGCAGTGGGTGGAGATGATTTGGTTTGATTTACAGCCTTCCAGGAAACTTCATGGGGGATGAAAGGTTGGTTTAGAAGGTTTTATGACAGCAGTAAGGTAGATTCCTGCTCCTTGGAGCTGTGTGTGGGGTTTTTCTGGGAAGAATGGCTGTTGGAAAAGCCAGGGAGAGGTGTGTAGTTTTTCCTCCAAAATGTTGAACTCAACTGATCAAACTTCAGCAAAGGAACTTGAGGAAAAATTCTGTTCTTCCATATTTATGCTTTAGTGCAAATTTCCTGATTTTGGAGGGGGTGGGGGGGAATTAACAGTCTCTGGTATTTTATCCCATTTGTTTCATTCTTCCTGTCACTTCCGTTTTTGTACAGATTTTGTTTGTTGTTGTTCGTTGTTCAATGACTTTTGTGATAAACTCAGCAGAAGTATTTTTCTGAAATAAATAAAAAGCATAGATTCTTCCAGTGCTGTTTCCATTGATGCTTTATTATTGCTAAGCTGTGCATGTGGCAGGGACACCTTCCACCATCCCAGATTGCTCCAAGCCCCGTCCAGCCTGGCCTTGGACACTTCCAGGGATCCAGGGGCAGCCACAGCTTCTCTGGGCACCCTGTGCCAGGGCCTCACCACCCTCACAGGGAACAATTTTTTCCCCAATATTCAATCTAAATCCTCTTTCAGTTAAAAGCCATGCCCCCTTACCCTGTCACCCCAAGCCCTTGCAGCTGGGATTCATCTTCCCACATTTCCCATGTCCACAGCACAGGCAGCTGCTCCAGAGTTCATTATTCGTGGCTGCTTTCATCAGAGGGAGTGGAGGATAAGGGTATTTGTAGGAGATGATTTATCTGATGTGGTTTAGGCACATATTTTTGGTGAGCTATATTGTATATTTTGTGCAGCTGGCCCCAGGCACACAACATCACTTGGCTGAGGGTTAGGTTATGGTTTCATAGCCTGTGCAGAAAATAGTTTCTGATTTTCTACAGCTCAAGTAATTTCATCTGTAAGTTTTTGGTCTCTTGAAATCTGAGGTGGACCAGAGATCCCTGGAAGGATGCTTGGTCTGGTGAGCAGCAGCACAAAACAGGCCCAGAAGGGAAGAGCAGTGACCTTTCCAAACAAGGGAGACAGGAGGGAGCTGTCACATGGAGACTCTCAGCTGTCTGAGGGGAAGTGGGAATCCATGGCACAAAAGCTGATTTAAGGCAGCATTTTGTTCCAGAGAGCTTTGTTCTCTGTGTGTGTGACAGCTGCCTTTTCTGGGTGCTCCAT